AAGGATAAACAAATAACGACAATCATAACGAGGGTTTTAATCCTTCGCAGCATGCTATTATTATTATACGTTGTTAAGTTAACAAAGTATAATAATATTACTGATATAATATAAAAGCGATCGAAGATTCGAGAAAAATTATTTATTTAGAGGACACGTCATCGTTTATCAATCGAATATTATATTATACTCAAACCGGATTACTGTATGCGCACAAATACTTTAATATCGCTTTCGATTTGACGATTATTATAACGTACAGTACACAAAAGGTATACGAACTATACACGAAGGCAATGAAAGTATGTAAAAATATCGTCACAAATGAAAAATACCTATTGATAATAATATACAGATATTTCACGAAGATTTACCCATTGATACTCCAGAAAGTATCAAATTTATTCGTAGTTTTTTTTTTTTTTTTTTTGTGACAATTTAAGAAACAAGCAGTTCTAAAATGTTACATTTCCAATATTTGTTGTCATTCGCCTTTATTTTTCAGATTAAATGACTGTCTACTTTTGATTTTCAAATGGCAACCTGTATTAAATATTCCATAAAACGTCCTCCTCAACGCATTAACTAGATTAGAAATGCTACAAGAAAATTTTTGATAGGAACAAAATTTCTGGTAGAAAAATTGCTTAAAAATACAAAAAATAAAACACATCAAAGTAAAACTAACACTTTCCACGCTCGTTTAGTGTATTCTAAAATTTTAAAAACCTTCCCGTACAATATTGATGTAATATTAATATGTAATTATAGTTGAAATAGAATGGATATCAAATATTTGCGCACATTATAGAAGTCTCGTGCGCCTGTTTGTAATATGTCACATTACACGGAGTATATTGTTATTTTCGATGATAACACGACGTAAATGAATATAATATTGCTGATTAACAGCGGGTGTCCAAACAACATCGTTATAATCTCCGTCGGGGGCATACCCGCAGTGCGTGGTATCAGTAATTTTAATGTAAGAAACACGGTTAGTGCGTCTTCTCTAAGTAACTGCGGTTTTTTTATTTTTTTATTTTTACTACATACGAGTCACCATAATTGCAGTCACATCATTTGAATTTTTAAACATTATCTATATTATTACCTATTTTTGTCGCTAATACGATATTTAAAACATAATACGTGAGAACGAAAAATCGAATAAACAACAATAATATTCTAGAACAACAGCAAAACAATGAGTCATCGTAAAAAAATTGAATAGGTCCTATTTACGAATGTGCTTGATAAAAGTCTCGTTCAAAATGGACGTACAAATTAAAATACTTTGTGAATGTCTGAGAAAAAAAAATACTAAGAACATAACTAATTAATTAAATACTATAACAAACATATTATAATATTATTAAATACACGTTAAAACACATTTTATTATTGTTGTTAAATAAAACCATATACTCATCCGACGATTCTAAAACCTTTTAGAGGACGGTACCATTTTTTAGGATCAAATTCAGCTGCGGTGTCCTGGCTGAATTTAATTTTAAATCCTAAATGGAACGCTGACTATATCAGTTTTATTAAGATGTGTGCGATTTTTTTTGATTTTTAATTTACAATAAAACTCCCATATAACGGTCACCGAAGGGACCGGAAATAATGACTGCTATTTAGAGGTGATTCATTATATAAATATTTTTGATTTTTACCAGAAATCTTGCTTAACATTTTAATAGTAGTTTGTGAGTAGACAGTTGTTTTTAATTTTTTTTTCTACCAAAAATAAGTATAACATGTTTTCAGATAGAAAATGTTGTCAGAAGATGAAGCTGTCGGTTTTTGAAAATCCGTGACATTTTTTGAATAATTGGGAAAAATGTAGAAAAACGGGAAAGTTTATACATATAGATTTAGATATAGTTTATAAATAAAATAGTTTCATTATTTACGATTTTGTTTTTTTTTGTAATTCGGTTAAAAATAATCGTAGAGTCTTGAAAGTTCCATAGAATTTTTAGATTAGCCTTTTCTATACGTGATAATTTATTTTTTATTAGGTGGGTACATAATATTATCTAAACAAAATTGTTATACTTGTCTTAAGATCAAATTTTGAAGAAAATCGTAAAAATTACGGCATTTCAAAACATGTATATCGCTTTTCGTTAGCAATGATATTTAATTATAAAGTAAATAGATGTATGTATCCTATCTTCTCAATTTTCCAACAATATTAGCATACCCATCTCCGGTATAAGCTATTTTGTTATAATTTGTTCAAATCTGTTAAAATGTATGCGGTAAATATAACTGCCGGCAGTTTTATTATAGTTGTCTTACTATTATAGCAAACGCCAAACATCTTTGGAAACTCAAACGGTCGAATTGTTGTACATTTTCGCATTACCTCGACCACCTAATGATGATGTTATACAGTTTTATGTTAAAAAGTAAATCCCGCAAAGTACAAGCGCGTTTCATCATAATATAAACAACGCTGTATTATAGTAATATTATAAACTTTTAGAGTTAGTAAAACAATTTTTAAAATCTAAACTTTTATAACATTATTTTACTTACTATATTATTACTAGCATGTCTACTGTAACACACGAAAGTTAAATAAAATAAAGAACCTAAAAATAATTGGTAATATTTTCTTTTCGCTAAATCATTATTTTAAGAAGTAATATTGTGTTTTATACGAGTACTCGTATGGAAATACTGTTATAATATTATCATAACAACTATGAAGATCAGGTGTATGAATTCGGTACTCAAAAGGGAGTTGGGGACGTTTTTCAACATTTTTCTCCGTATTTGTAAAATTTAAAAATAATATTTTTATTTTTAGATGATACGAATTTTACACTAATCTACTTTTATACTCCATTTAAGGGGAAGAGTTACGGCCGTTTCAACGGATAAATATAACTATAATTCTACCACTACCGATCACTCGATTTTAATATTTAAAACATATTTGAATTTCATCGATTTCTTGGCTACGTTTTTAAGGTTTTTTTAAATAAACTCTTACTCAAAAGTATTATAAAAATACAGAGAAAAGGTATACTGCAGTAAAATCGTTTTTAAAAACAGAAATTATCGGACTACTGGAAATACTTGTATGTTTATTTTACTCCAGCTTATTGGGGCTGAATTTATGAAAAAACTAAACGCTTTAAAAACTGTTTGAAAAATGTCTATACAAATAATTCGTTTTCTCTGTCTGTTTCACACAAACTATAGTGACAAATATAATTCGCACATAAACGTTACATATAAACATAGTTGAGTTTAGGGCAAAAAGAAACTGTTATATTATATTTTATACAGGAAAGTATGTACTAATGCTTTGGCAAAACGATATTTTCAATATTTTCATTTTTTTAATAAGTTATTAATAATGGTTAAAACGTAGACAAATTTAATTAAATTAAAACAAGCATTTTGTTATGACAAAAATGAAAATATTAAAAGAATCACGAGGACAAAATATAGAAAATACTCTTCTTTATAATATGTATAAATTAAAAACGATCTCCTTGTTCTAAATTCAATGAATAAGTCGAAATCGTTGAAGTGCGATGTGTATTCGTTGCCATATTACGCTCGAAACAGACAGAGAAAACAAATTATGCGTAGAGGCAATGAATTTTCGCCCATCGTTCAAATCGCTCGGCCATTTCGTTATTATTCAACGTTTCGACCGCGTGACGACTGTCGTCGTCCCGGTATATAATGTAATACTAATGATTACATAAAATGCCACTCCGCTCGACGATTTTTATAATAATACCAAAGTGATAAATCGCGTTCGAGTCGCTAACTATCCTACTAATATTATAAATTCGAAAGTTTGTTTGGACGGATGGTTGTTTGTTACCCATTCACGCAAAAAAATACAGAACGGATTATGTTGAAACTTTGCATAAATGTAGTTCTGGACCAGGAATAAGAATGTACGCTTTCCTTCCTTCCTTCCGAATTCAAATTACAAAGGGGACGAACACAAAGGGTTACTGGTATTTTTGATGATTTATGAGTCACCTTGGCGATACGGATGAAAAAAAAAGTTAAAAAAAAAAAACAAAATCAAAATTATTTATTTCGGTGTGGGAAAAATCCTATCGGGACAGCTAGTAATGTGTATATATTATTACGAAAGAGAAATATAATATATTATTAAAAGAAAAAAAAAAATTCTTCGGTCGATATTTTAATGACACGGATTACGCAATACTCGGCGGACGAGAATGCATTTGTCGATCGAATCCGATTTTCCGGTATACGACCTCATCGTGGCTGCAGGGATGACGGGAGTCGCGGATGAATTATTATAAAAATAATCGAAACAGCGGCGGCGTAGTATCGTGGCCGGTTTTTTTTTTTTTTTTTAATTTTTAATTCCCAACATAATTTTTCTAACGGTATCCGAAATCGCACGTGATCGCGCGAATCAGACTTGTGCTGTCGCTGTCATGAACGCGGAACATGAGCGGACACTCGTATCGTCGTAGGTACGTGTCTTATCGATTCTTGAATTTTTCGGTATTTTTTTTTTCTAAACGAAAAACGGAAACGCCGGTTTGGAGACGACATTGTGCCGAAAGTTATCGAGGTAATTTTTTCGTCTCGTGTGTCTACTATAGGAAAATAATGTGACTAGACTCGCGTTGAAATCCGACGCCATCGTCGCCACTGTCGTTAAATACACGCGAATTAATTTATAGCGGCAAACTAGTGGTGCTTGCAAGGGCGCCCGCAGAGGGGTGCCGGTAGGGACTATGTCCCCCCCCCTACTATTTTAGTTAAATATTAATTGTTTTATTACTTGCCTTGCTTAAATATTTAAGCTATGATTACTTGTAAGTTATAAGTTGTAAAACAAAGTCTTATATTTTTGACTTAGCCCCCCCCCTAGTTTTTATTTCCGCGAGCGCCCTTGGATACTTGTATGTCATTGGATGGGAAAAGAAAAACGAAATTTCATACCAGATAACGAAAATAATAGGCATGAATCATTTATTATTACGAACGTGCGAGTGCGGGCACTACCATCGCATCCCGAGAGTAGGGAAAGTCTATAAGAGCGCGGCCGAATCGACTACCTTCACCAGTGTCCGTTGCCATCCATCGACATTAACTCGGCTGTCATCGTCAACCGAATACATCGCGCACACACACAATTTTTTACATAATTATCATGTCGTCGTTCGCAATGAGAGTGAGTAAAACAAAAAAAAAAATCTAATAATAATTAATAATCACATTGTTTAAGTTCGCGTTTTGTTTTTGTACAATATTACTTGTTTTATCTTTATACTAAATAAGTCGTGTAAGACTACGAGTGTAGCGACTGTATTGGTTTTTTTTGTGGTATGTTTTTTTTTCCAATTTTAGATTTCAAACGGAGCTATTGGTTTTACTAAGATGATTATACTTTTTTTCTTTGTTCTAGTCTGTGTATACGCTTTTTCTTAGAAAACTTGCTCCGATTTTTACGTGTGGCATTTTTTCTGAAACCTCAAGTTCTCTATATTGTACTTTAAAAAGATCATTTTTTGATTTGATTCACAATTCCCATTTTAGTGGAAAAAAATGTAAGAAAACGTACGATTTCACGATTTCTTTATTTTATAAAAACACGGACGACGTTTTCTACCAGAAAAAATGATTTATTCGAAAAATCACAAAATAATTTTTTGTTGCCTTTTTGACTTACTTTCTTACTGTATCATTGCCAAAACTTTTGAGCCACTATTAAGGAATTTAAATTTTTGGGAATTTTTTATTGTAATTCAGTTATAAATACACATAGATACTTGAAACTTGGAAATAATACTTATATTAGATTTACCTAAACGTGGTAAAATTTTTTAAAATGATCGGAAGACGTTTTTTTTAATAAGTGTTTTGAAATCAAATTTTAACGAAAACCGTAAAAATTATGTATTACCGAACTGCGCTTGAAATCGTTTTTCGTCAAGCAATGGTTTATCGTTGCTTACAGATAAAAATAAAATAACCTTATGTATCCTACCTTCCCAACTTCTCACCTACAACAGCGGCTGCTCTCATAACCATTATTAGCTCTTTTTTTTTTTGTATACCTACGAATAACTACTTTTCCACTAGAAATCTGGTAGTTTTAAAAAAAACGAAAAGTGAAAATTACAGAATTAATTTTTTGATTTTCTTTGCAGTTTTGTTAACAAATGAGAAAAACAGAAGTTTACGATTTAATTATTTTAAAATTTTTTTAATTTTGTTTTTCTACCGTTAATGTTGCTCCGATTTTCAAGCGTAGCATTTTTCCTGAAAGAAAATCGTGTCCACAGTGGTGTGTTAGTAAGAATGCGTTTCAATTTTGCTTGCAGTTTTCTTAATATAGTTGGGAATCATGAAAAATACGGGACAATTCGGTTTCATTATTTTCGAATTTTTTATTACGGTTAAATATAATTGTAGAGATCAGAAGTTTTGATGAAATAATCATATAAGACTTTTTCGGAGCTAAGGTTTTCAAAAACTTCTGGCCATTTTTGAGCTTTTTAAAGGCAATTTATATATTTCTTAGTTTTTATTTTGTTTTATGTGGATATAATTATTGCTTTAGCCGAGAAAAATTGATTGAAAATTTTACACGAGATTCATCATACATTTTTGTACTTAGTAATTACAAAAAAAAAAGCTGAGCATAGTGTAGCAACTAGTTTTTATGATCGCATAAGATTCAAAAAATTTGGAAACTGTAAAAATCGGGACATTTTATTTATTTTTTGATTAGCCAAACTATCTGGTATTTTCAGTCAATATATCTACTGTAATTGCTGAATTTTCACCTGGTTTATCTCCTAGACTAATTTTTTTACTGGAGAACATTCTTTCGATTATTGTGAAAATGGTTAGAAATGTTCACCACGATTGGCACGAGTTTGTTTTGTTTTGATTTATTTATTTTTTGTATTTATTTTTGACCCGAACACCGTTTTCGACGACCACGTGCGAAGTTAGGTCGGGTCGATAATATTATTTATTGTTATACACTTAATAAATATAATGAATAAAAAACCGATCAAGATGATAAAAGTTTAAGATACTTACCGTCGGGATGACGAACTCTGATCGAAAATCGTTCGACATAATCACCGTATAATATCGTATGCGGATAAAACGTAAGCCGACTACATTATACTCTTACGTTACTCATACGATTCATCCTTGAATATTGTCCTCAGGAAATCGAGGAAACAACAGTCTTAAGCACATTAATTTATTGCCGTCATTTCAAGCCAAAAATCACTCACGCACACGACAGTAGAGATCATTTATTGTTTATTATCGGAAACCGTATAAGTTTTATTTGCATACTATTACAGTCAGCAGCCGCAATTGACTTCGCGACAATTCTTTGGTGCGTCGATCGAACGGCAATATCTCTTGTTGTGTAAAGAAAAAACGCAGTTAGTAAGTCCGCTAGAATATATATTGTTCGTTGATATTATTATTGTTACTTTTTTTTTAAATTTGATTTTAATTATCATGCCCCTGAAATGATTCGAATCGCGGTGTTATTGACTGTATATTAGTTTCTTCGTTATCGACGCGCGGTGTCTGAGCTAAACACGCCGTCGGTTAATAGCAATAATTAAATAGCGTTGCGATTTAATAGGATACTTCGAACTTTCTAAGATAACACGTAGGCAAGTATATTATATTGTTGACTCCAAAGTATAGTCTTACGTAAAACTATGATTTTGCACGGGCATCATAATATATTACTGTAATATTAGCGAATATAATTGGATTTTGCTGAAAATAAATAAAATTGTTTTTTTATATAATATTACGGTCGAAAATGTTTTTCATCCATCGATTTACTCATCACTTAGAACGCGTGTAGTACGGACATTTCTCTAAACAATAGAACTCGTATTGTATAGACGGAAAAAAAAACGCAAAGGCCTTCTTAAAGAGGGATTTAATGAACGTAAAATATTGGGAATGAAAAAAAAAACAAATAAAAAACAATGGTATTCACTATATTTATTTAGTTCAAACTGTTTGATTAATTTAGAATTTTTCGGCTTATCTATCAAAGAACGTACATTGCATTGCCGCACCAAGTGAAGACTTCTGTTTTTTTTTTTTTTTTATTCGGATTAAGACGAGAAAAAACTATTGACTTGTTTGAGTAAAAAAAAAAAAAAAACGATTTTCACTTTCTAAAAATCCCGAGGGAAATCGAAAATAATACCGTCCGTTTTATTTTCGAAATTTAAAAAAATAAACACTATTTTTCGAAGAAAACATTTGTATTAATAAATTCAATAATTACGTTTCGGAAAAAGTGTATTGTTTTTCATGTTGTCGTTAAAACAATACATTATTTGATTTCTTGAATAATTCTACTCGTACGGCAATAATTTCCATTCATGTACAATAGTTTTGAGGGCGAATTTAAACGAAACGTCCCAATCAGCCACGCGGTATCCACTACGACTGCCGATGTCAAGTGCCTCTGTAATTTACAATGATTCCATGGTCAGTGGAAATTCCACAATAATAATAATATGATAATTCCAGGATAATTCGACGTGCTTCGGGTTCCGGTTAATCGTTGATCCGTTGGTACATATTCTCGAGAGGTTCTCTTTTGGCGCGCCACTTAAATGTGAATTGATTCGAAAATATTGACCTTTATTGTTTATTAAAAATATTTTAGAGTACATAGTATGTTAATTGAAAAAAAAAGTCAGTTAAGTATTCATAACGTGATTTGGCAATGCGGTATAGTTTAACAAATATAGGTCAAATTGTGTCTCGCTCATGTCGTCTGTCCAAATCGCAAGCCATCAAAGGAATTCATTATAAAATGAAAATCTCTAAATACTATTCGTGTTCACCTAGCTAATCCTTTATAAAATACACTTTTTAACTTTCATGTAATTAGTTTTGTTGGCACATTGTCAACTCGATACATTAATCATTGTGTTGTATAATAGTTTTAGGTCAAAACATAATAATGTATGTACCTACGTTACACGAAGAGAAAAAAAAAGCGATTTTCCGAACATAATCAGCTCAAGATTTGCATTTTTTTTGCACAGTTTTCGTCCATAAACTGAATTTTGTTTTCCGACAAAATGAAATAAAGGTGTTTAGGACTACTCGGAAACATTGGCACACTACAGGTCAATTCCGAATTATGGGGATCTATGGTGTCGTTTACCGAAAATTGGGAGTGAATCCTGGGACAGAATGATCTATGGGTTCTTTGAGAGCAATAAGTAGGGGATCCAGCAATCGGAAATCAATGTTCAACACCACGTGACATTGTAATATTCGTTTATTAAATTAAAATTTCATATGAATATAGACAAAGCGAGAACTCAGTGAAGATTATGCGTTTATAAATTATTCATAAACCATACAGAGAACGTTTACAGTAGTCTATTTGTCGACAGAAACAATGCCTTATTACATGATTACATCTGTATAATTATGTGACGTATGACTGAATAACTAACCTTGACGTAGGTGTCTATATCTATAGTGTTTTATCGTTTATTTTTAAACCCGGATTAGGGAGTTTAGTGGTATGGCGTGTGTGCATTTTTTTCGCGATTTTCGAAAACCAAACCTAATCTAAAATATGTGTAGGTATAATAGAATAATAATCGTAAGATATGTATTCCAAGCAAATCCCGCAATAGCTCGAAATTTGCTATATTCTATAAAAAATATTGGACATAATAATTGTAATTAATAAATATTAAAAAAAATCTACAAAAAAAAAAAAAAAAAAAGAAAAGAAAAAAAAAAGGTTTTTTTTATTCGGTCATGTTTTATTCATTGTTAATTATTTACAAACCAATGTTACGCGTTATCGAAATTCTCGACGTATTTATAATGAATGTTTTATTAATAACGTAGCTGTAATAATGTATTGTTTTTTTTTTTTTTGAAAAATATTATTGTGTCTGATGTGAAATTCTTCACCAAAATCCGGCGATCATTACATATTTAAATTCGAACCGCTCATAAAATCATAAATATTTATCGGTGAGAAAAATGAGATAATTTATTTCGTGAAAACAACTTTGGGTTTTAAACTCCATCTTGACAATTTCTGTTAATGTTCAGCATGGTTTGGCACCGCTTCTCAAATAAACGTGCACATAATATACATATCTACCACCGGGGGGATGGCTGCAGACATTATATACATATATTATGTATATATATATATAAAGAAAACTTCCTCCGATCGGACGAAGGCACTTTCGCTATTTTTTCAAATTGAATTCCGATAAATTGTTATCTGTATATATTGGCGAGGGGAGAGAAAGTTTTTTCCCTTGATTTCATCCTTCACGCTCGGCAGAATTATAAGGGGGGAAATTACATTACTGACTGTGCCCCGGCGGGCGGGGCGGAGACGAGATCGTCAATTTTACGCGTTGCATCACAAAACTCGACCGATTTTCATCCTCCAACCGCCGCCACCGCCGCCGGCGGCGGCGGTCGGAGGGCAATTTTCATACGTACGCGTGTATTTTTAACCGAATGGTTTTTTTTCTACGTCATAAATCGACTAGTACACTCGGGAGGGTCCAAAACCGCCGCGCCTAATAAAGTTTTTTGGTATTATGGCAGGGTTGTTTATAATATTATTGTGACGTACGCGCGTTTGGTGGTCTACGACCGTGCATGTTACACACTATCGTCGCGCATGGCGGAAAGTGTCCGTGACGTTTCCACACCGCGAACGGACCTGCTCGAAAATTCGTTGTGGTAAACGAACCGAACAAATCGGAGATAAATACGAATTTACACTATTATATAATAATAATATACAGAGTATAACAAGACTATTTGATATTTTTTACATTATAGTCACGTGTAAAAATGTCGAATAGTCCTGTTACACTCTGTATATACCTATATACCCCCCCGAACCGGGGCAGTAGGTAGTCGCGAACGATTAAAAATTTTTTATCATGTTTTTTTTTTTTATTTTAATGTTCATTGTCCGCAATTTCGCAATTTACCGTGTTCGTAAATCATTACGTAGTACCGCGGGTGTGATAATAACATTCGATGAAAACGACGAACGTAACCTAACCCAACGACGAACGTCGTTTTCATACGGTTTATTTTTTCGACAAAATATTAAAAACAGTATACGTGTGCAACATTATCGTTTTGTTAATTTCTGTCCTTGGCTCTGCACATTAAATTTGATTACGAATATGCATACGGTATACATATAGTAAATAATTAAATTATTTTTCAATATCAGGAATATCTAATTACAAAATTCATATAGGACGTCTGCCAAATCATAGCAATATTTACTATTTAAGAACACTTACAATTGCGCCAACTACGTTAAAAATACGTTTTCAAAAGATACCTTTCTCAGTAAACAGCGGGTTTCGTAAAATACCCACTTTTTTGACGTTCATTTCTTTCCGTACGACGTGCGTCGTGAGCGTCGGAAAGATGGATATGGTAAAAACAACAAAATACATTAGATAATAGCATTTAAAATTGCAGTTAAAACGCATGTTCTCGTTGTACCGTAAAATTATTGTATGCATAATGGCGATTATTAGAAGGGAGCTGATCGGGGGAATCTACTTTTCTTTTTATCTAGTTTAACATCTCCAATGCATTCGTCCCAATCAATATTTCCCATTTTTTCCGAGTCTTCATTGCATATCGAATCATTTTGGTAGACTGCACCCTTTGATATCATTTTGATATGTACGGTCATTTCGTTATTATACGCTACATTAGAGCAACATTTTACTGCTCCTTAATGCACCTCCTACGCCATTGTCCCTTTTCAACATCAAAAACCATTGTCGCCTAAATATTATCTATTTTTATTTTGTCGTGTTTGACAACAATAATAATTATCGCGTCTCAACGCTCCAAATTATCATTACACCATTTCTATAATTTTACAGATAATATGGTTTTTCGGTTTGTACGTCTGTGCCACTTTGGCGCGTCCGCAGGACTTGAATGTCGAAAACGTACCGAAATCCTTGGCCGCAGCAGCTCCGACTGTTATCGTGAAACGAGCCACACTGGACAACGGTCAACCGGACTTGTCACTTCCCAACGTTAACGACAACGTTCTCGATAAAGCGCTCAATAACAAGAAGTTCGTGGATAGTCAACTCAAGTGCGCTATGGGTGAAGGACCATGCGATAACATTGGCAGGAAAATCAAAGGTCAGTGAACATGAAATTATTAAACCAGGCTTAGGTATATATTAGTTTGTCAGTTACAAATACGGTTTTCACTTTCGATTCAATTTATTATACTTATATTTTAAGATGAAACGAAAAACGATGTTAAAAAACGAATAATAAGACCGTATAATATTATATAATAACTGGGAAATAGAATTTCAATTAAATATCAAAGCAAATGTGTTTTAATCGCATAGTTTTATTTTAACTCCAAATTCATCACTTTATACTAATAATTTTGTTTGGCCAAATTAAAATAGAATTCCGACCGAATTCCTTATAGTCTGAAATCAATCCTAGGTCTTTTTATAAACAGAAATCTCTGTTTTTGATTTCTATTGTTTAATTACCACAATACTAGACGCACAATACCTACCTACTTGTCTTTCAACACCTCTGAACAAAATATATTCCAATTAACTCATATCGATTGCCGAAGTAAATTAATTATTCGCCGGATTTTCATTATGGAGTTAGATCGTCGGGACAAGAATAATTTAATGTATTAGTATTTAAAATTTAAAACTATAGACAATAAAAATACATTCAAACTAGTTATACTAATATTATTATGTATGGTACGATTTTTTTAAACCGTTAATAAAATATAAACTAAAATTTAAGGGAAACAGTTGAGAACAGTTCTCCAAATTTTCTCCAGTTTTGTAATGTTTAAACATATTTTTTGGTTTTTAATGGCCACTATGATGATATAGGACTTTTTCACTAATCTACTGCCCAATACCAATTTAAGGGGGAAGGGTTACGATAGTTTTTAAGGGTGAATATTACGTTTTACACTAATAAGTTGGAGTAAAATTCATCCACTGCCGTTCGCCCAATTTTATCATACTTGTATTCTTTGATATTTTGTCTATGTTTTGTACGAAATATTTGTCCGTTTTATTTAATTAGTTAGTTTAATCAAAGTATATAATGAATGCATCTTTTTTCTTAAAACAAGCTTTTACTTAAAAATCTGACAAAAAATGAAAATATATTTTTTAAAAGGAAATGAAAAAATTATACTAAGTAAAATAATTTTACAAAGTAGAAATTGAACTACTGGAAGTATGTTAATTTTACTCTGGACTTTTCATCTAAATGTATGACAAACCGAATAATTTTTAACCGCCTTAAGAACTTAATTCATTTTTTAAACGTCACGCATGAATTCAGAATATTTACATCAAATAATTTAAATATTTAAGAAACTTCGATCAAATATTGGAGTTAAGACTACTGCAATAATATTTCGATTGCGAAACGTCTGACTTATGGTTAATTTTTATTTCAGCCTATGCCCCGCTTGTGCTTAGAAACATGTGCAACAAGTGCACGCAATCCGATATTAGACAAATTCAACGCGTTATGTCGCATATACAGAGAAACTATCCGAAAGACTACGCCAAGATCCTGAACAAATATCAGAACGGAGTCTGATTACGGTACCACCTATTTATCCTCGGTCGGAGGAATAACACTTCCCGCGACAAACAATCCATCGTCGGCATAATTTATACATACCTAATAATAATATAATATAAATTTGATAAAACATAATTTATACATCGGACTCAACCAATTGCAGTTTGTATTATTGCAGTGTAGCAGTGTACGAGTCATTATATTACGGACCTAATATTAAAAAAAAAAAGTTTTAGTGTAATTTTTTATAATTATTATTATTATTATTGTTTATTTGTTTGTTTTTGTTTTTTTTTTTTTTTTTTTAAATAAACGACTGAACAATCAATCACAAAATCAAATATTCCTTATACAATTATTTATACGTATCGCAATATTACAATCAATATTATTATTACAATAATATTATCATCGCACAATATCACGCAAATCAATCGTACAATAAGGCGACAGCTCAAAATGTATGATTTTCATATTTTCCGTACGCTCGTACGAACTCGTAATTTTATTGGTTTTAAAATGATGTGTTTTTTTTCTTGTGTCTATAAACAATTTTTCTACCAGAAATCTTATTCTAATCAACAATTTTCTTTTAGCATTTTTGATCTAATTGGTGCATATTTTTTTTTGGATACACATTAAATTGCTCTATGCATCTGCCCTTATTGAATATTTTTCTTAAAACAGTAGCACACCCATCAGCCTTTTGTCTATAGTGTCACCTACTTCCTTTTATCAATAAAAAAAATTCGTCAAAAACCTTATTAGTTTATTGAAAGTGTAAATTAAGATATCCGTGCGCGATTTAGTCGTAAATCGTCTATAATAAATGTATATAGTGTTAGAATAATAATTTAATTTATTGCTGTGCGATAAAACCGTTACTAGAAAATTACAATAATCGTTGTTCTTACAGTTATTTGTAATCACACAAAAACGAAAATATCTACAGGTATTGAAATCACAAAAGAATAATAAAAACAATGTGTACAGATTGTTCACATATTAAAATTAACTTTAAAAAAATATCGGTATATATATTGTGTACAATGTAATATGCACACTTAATCTATATACTGAATGTATTTAGAAATATAAATAATATGCCCTATGCCCTAAAAATCTAAATAAATGGATGTCGATCATCTTATTTTAAGTCGAGGCCTAATATTTTGAATGGCTAAAAATTTGGCTATTAGTTGGAAAAGGTTGGCGACCGCTGATCCAAACCTTCAAATCGATTTTATGAACATTACGCATTATAAGTTTTTACGTTATATTTCTTTTCATCGTTCTGCTATATTAGTAATAATTAGTTTATATGGATTCAAACGATTTAATAGTCCCGTTAAAAAAAAAAAAAACTTAATTTTTTGTCAAACACTCTTATTGTATAGATATATGAGTAACTTTACCCACTAAGATTTGACCATTTTTGAATAAGAGTTACTCAAATGACGTTTCTAACAGTAAAATAAATAAATATATATATATATATATATATATATATATATATATATATAAATACTTAAAATTTAGAATGTATGCCTTTTCAAAGTTATCACATGTATGTGGAAATCTGTATTTTTTCGGGTCCAATCATATTTAAGGAATGTCATCATTACGTCATCACATTAATCGTGCGTGTTGCATTATTCAAAATGCCGCCCTATGCACCTATACTGGCCAGGTGATATTATGACCTCGATAGTGATTTTCTGTAAAATATAATATAGTATGTGCATATATGTTTTATAGGTACTATAATAGGTAACCGTAACCGTGAATTAAAACAGTACCATTACATAGAGTATATGCAAGTATTATAATTGGGCCGGAAGAACGATGACAATTTGATAACATTAGGTATACGACGCGAGTAAAAGACGTTACGTTACAGCACTTTCTATTGACCTCTAAATACGGGAAACGGATAAAAACTGGTGGAGAAAAAAAATAAAATCGAAATCCGCGCACACTTACTTGTACCTAGGTACTGTATAGGCACTCGTATCTGTATCATCAATACTCGTTTGTGTATAATACGTGCGTGCAGCAGCAGGTCTCTAGCGAGAGACCCGGAAAACGAAAGTGAAAACTTTGCTCCGGCCGTATTATATGTATTTTATTTATTTTTTAATAAAGTGACGACGACGACGACGACGTGTGCGTAATATGGTTACGAGACGGCGTTCTACAAACACTGGGTCTACACTGGGTTCCACACACTACACCTGCATATTATATTATATCATGTGTGTATAATATAACACTGCGGTCATGTACCACGCGCGATAATAATACGTGCTGCCGTGTTGGGTAATAAATATTTAAAAAAACAAAAAAAGTCGAAAAGGTATATATATATATAGTATATTAGGCGGGATAATTTATAGCTTATACACTGTATATGCAACGATAAATCATTGCAAACGAAAAACGACCACCCTTAGCGGAGCTCGGGTTAACATTTTTTTTTAATAAATTTAAATTGAAAATGTAATTCGTTTGTAATGTAATTTACAATTTTTTCGTTTTAATGAATTTGATCGTTATTCGAATTCTAAAATATGCAGGTATATAAAAATAACTGTGAAATTAAGCTTATTTTTTTTAAATTTTTTTGACACTGAGAACAATAATTATACTTATGGAAGAAAAATCTTATCTTGAAAAAACAACGGTTTGGTGTGGTATATCATCGGTCTATATTTCTTCAAATATGACGTTGGGCAGAACGTAACTCTGAATGGCGCCCGTTATTACGCTTATACCGTGTGATATCACACCTCTCGGCTTTTTTCTTCGTAGCTACGTGAAGTTGAAAGTCTTCATAGCCAAGTCGGCTTGGCTAAGATTGATTTTAGAACGCTTATAAAAAAAAAAAAAAAAAAATTAATAATAATAACACGTTACAATCAATTTTATTTTTAGCCACAAAGTATGAATTTTAAGAAATCTCTTGTTAAATTTCCAAGCGTTTTTGTTTTGTCAAACTATTATATCCACAGAGTACCTACCAGAGTACCTACAGAGTACCTACGTCGATAAATTCGACGATTATGACTTTGTTATTCTATTTTATTAAACCATGTATACTGTGAGACAAATTAGATTGTTTTCAAATAGAAGGCGAAAAGGGTTTAGAAACAATTGGATATTAGGCAAAAATTACTAGCACTTACTACACTTCTAACTTGTGAAAAGTATAAAACATAACTCGGTTTTATTGTACTTTATTTACTATACACGTTTAACAATCATCAACCGAAACAATTTGCGAGTTGTTTAAACAACGTTCAATTTCGGGAAAGTGAAGGGGATGAATATTGTTTTAAAATGGATACGAATGGATACGAATCGGGCGCGTAAAATTTGCGTTGGTCCGATGTGGATAGGACGATTTACGGTGCCGGGGAGAAGGGGCCCGGTAAAATCCTCCTGTCGCGCGCTCTCGCAATAGCGATACCGACAATAACAACCGGTACACGATAAGGATTAACGGTCCCGGACTATTATCGTTTTGTTATCGTTGTTATTATCGCGAACGCCCGTCTCGTCCTCGTAATAAATATTCGCCGTCCCGTCGTTGAACTGCCGTCCGCGGCCGCGTACGTCCGGCAGACGCGCGCCTCCGTGTGCCAGATATACCCGCACGGCGCGCACAAAACGTATACGGTAATGATATACTCGTACCCGGTACGCGCGCGCATCGTAACAGCATTACGCGTTCGGTTTCCGTTGTTCGCGAGGCGCGCGTTTCGTCGCAGAACGCGGAGCGTCGCGGCCGAGTTTCCCGGGTCGATTTGCATATTATTACACATTATTATCATTATTATTATAATAACGTAGAGTTTTTTTTTTTTTATCGCCGAAATACGGCCGTGCAAAACCGTGTTCGAGGAACAGAGTTCGCCCGGACGGCGGTGCCGCACGTCGATAACAGCAGTTCACGACGTACCGTTGTGTCGCGCGTGCGCTTTACGTTGTTCTATGCGTAACCCGTGCGCGCACGGCATCCAATCGCCCCCGCGGACCGCTCAACCGTCGGACGACGCACGACACGCGACCGCGTGACGCCCGCCGTTTCGGGCCGCGCCGCGCGCGCAACACGTCCGCATTGTCAATCAGCCCGCGCAACGCCGTCGCGCATATTCCGATAGCGGGTCGCGTCTTCACTGCCGCCGCCGTGCGAAATACCGGCGCCGGGCGCGTCGTGCGAAACGGACCCGAGCGACGGACGACCACGCGGAGACGCGAAACGACGTCGGGCCGGTCGCGTGCGCGTGTGTGTCCACCGACCGCCCGGTCGGACGCGGGGCCGGGAATGCGCGTACCGCATCCGTTGTCGTCATCATCGCGCGCGTACTGTACGAGAGCGGTGATTGCGAGACGGGAGAAAATACCGCATAGGAGTGTTGTGGATACGCACGCGTCCCGAGAATACCACACGGGGATACGGCGAGACGATACGGGCGGTTGGACGGGACGAGTGTGCACGGGAGTCTGGCGAGCGGCGGGCCAAGGAGGGCAGGCGCGGCGAAGACTCCGTTCGAATGCCCGTGCCCGTGGGATACTTCAAAATTATTATTTACAAATTCGGCGGATTACGTACATTGATTTTCATCACACGAGTTACACAAGATATTCAAGATACTTGAATCTTCTGTTGGGTTTCTGGATCGAAGATGTGACCAGAGCGTCAGCGCGGATATTATAACGATTTACGCGTATTATAATAATGCGCAGAAATCGTTCCCGAGTACCAGCAATACGGATACGACGGATTTAAGGAACGATTAAAAAAAAAAAAAAAAAAAAACCCCTGGACGAACGGTTAAATCATTTTAAAGTTCGACCAAATCGAAAGAAAAAACTCACGCACGCGAAGAAACGCAATGCATACTACCGCGATCTTTTATATATAAATAATACGCGCGCGTTGTCCTCGATAATAACGTATTATATTAATCGGAAAAATGTACAATATAATGTCATAAACTCATTAAACTCTGAAGTCATATCGAACGAAAATTATTTGACAGTATATAATTTACTCGTGTTTAACACGCGGTCGATGGTAACCCGGTCAATCGAGTATTTGAGCGCACGAAAATATTGAGTACATACATTTTCAGCACTGCCAATTTTTTTTTTTCTTCAATAACTTATGCAATAATAACACGTAGACAGTAAAACGTATAAAATAAAATATCAGCCGATAAACCTATAAATATATAGGTAGGTACTGATGAGAGGTAGGACGAGACTCACGTGTAGACATATTACAATAATTCTTTCGAAACTATCATGTAGTCACTACAGTACCTATCTACCTAATTATCGCCCATACAGACATTAGAACAATACACGATAATGG